GGACAACAACAAAGTTTTTAACATCCTTTTGTCAAATAGTCATTTAATAGCTTCTTTTGGAAAAATGCATTCTATTAAGAGAAATACCAGTGGTCCCTGGGTACATGTTCCCATGGTTGCACTGTCACAGAACTGAGCTCACTCCTGAAATAAAGCTCTCCTAAGCTCCCATACACTTTGTTTCAAAGACTAGCAATAACATTGTGTGGGGTTCAGGCACAACTCTGGTGGAAGTACAGGAGTGCTTAACACCCCAGACAAACCCTACAATTCTTACTGTACAGATATGGCTAGAAAACCAGGCATCGAATAGGGAGATATAAATCCAGAGATTTAGTAAATTGCTTTTATTGCTTCTTGCAGCTAATTACCAGCCTAGATTTGTTGACTGATTCTGTGTGTTGTATAAACTTTCCACAGCTTGTTTAAAAGAAAATTGTGGATGTGACACTTTGGGCCTTGGTTTAGTGGTGAACAGTGTCAGGTTGGACTAGATATCTTAGAGCTTTTTTCGAACCTAAATGATTCTATGACTCTATGAATGTTTATTTACTTTGTACCAAAATAGCAGAGAAAGAGCAAAAAGAGGAAGTTAAGAAGTCACCATTTCTTAGCAATTAGCTAACAGATTAGGTATCATGCTGGTTAACAGACAAAAGGCCTTTAATCTATAACTGGTGTAACAATTCAGACAGGGTTTTAAAAATTAGTTTTAGAATAAAATGCAGAATAAAATAGAGTTAATTCTCCTAAAAATGCTTACCAGCCAATTGACATTAATTATTTGTGTTTCTGCCTTCATCTTTATTTTGTTGCTAATTTTGTAGTGTCAAACAGTATATATGTTACATATAAAATACATAAAGCCACAAGAACCTGGAGCAGATAATTTCAGTATCTCCTGGAGAATTGCACTGGTTTGCTAGCTGAGGCACTCTGGTACTGCTGCGAGGCTTTTGTAGGGCCCACCAAAGGGGAGGACATGCATTGCTGCATACTCTGTAATGAAATAGAGAATAATGAGATATACATGTATAGAAACTGAAATGCAATTATGTATATAATTCAAGAACCATAATTTGATGTTATCATGTAATTTGTCATGGACCAGCCAGCCAAGAAAGACTTCTGACTACTGAGAGCCAGGAAAATGCATTGGTGAGGGGAACACCTTTGTTTCCTTTTTATTTTAAAAAGTAGGACAGTCTATGAAGAACAAACCAGAGAACATACAAGCTCAAAAATGCATTAGTGAAACACAGTTAGTTCCAATGAAGGTAATTATGCTGAAAAATGCAAAATTTGTTGTTTAGCCACAAAGCACTAAATTTATAAGACAGGAGGCAGAAGAGGGAAAGCTGAGGTGAAGTCACAGCTACTACTTGGAGTCAGAAGAAAAGAGGTAGTGATGCATTCTGTGTTGTTTTCACAGTCCCACTTCAAAACCAGGCAATCATTTTTAAATTTAGGAGCTGGGATACTTCCTGGGGTGTTTTGCTCTCAAATTCAGCAAGTGGCAAAACACTTATGAATAAAGAATGTTTCCTCTAACATTTTTGGTAACAGTTTATCCAGGAAAGTACATGAAGTATCTGAAGCAGATCAACTTGAGTCCCATCACACAGCACCTACAGGACAACCAGGGGATCAGGCCCAGCCAGCATGGGTTTGTGACAGGCAGGTCCTGCTTGACCAACTTGATCTCCTTCTATGGCAAGGTGACCTGCTTAGTGGATGCAGGAAAGGCTGTGGATAATGTCTATATGGACTTTAGTAAAGTATTTGACACCATTTTCCCCCAGCATTCTTCTGGAGAAACTGTTTATGGATGGATGAATGTGCTCTTCAGTGCCTAAAAAACTGGCAGGATGGCCAAGCCCAGAGAGCGGCAGTGACTGGAGCTCCATCCATCTGGCATCTGGTCACCAGTGATGTTCCCCAGGGCTCAGTATTGGGCCCAGCCCTGTTTAATATCTACATTGATGATCTGGATGAGGGGATTGAGTGCAACCTCAGTAAGTTCACAAATGACAACAAATAGAGTGGAAGTGTTGATTGATCTGCTGGAGGGTAGGAAGGCTCTACAGAGGGGCCTGGACAGACTGGATTGATGGGCCAAGGCCAATTGTATAATACAATGAAATGGACCCTATTAAGTTACTATCACTTAAGAGTTCTTGCAACTTTCTGGACTTACCAGTCATCTCCAGATCCCAAAATGAAAATTAAGCCATAGGATGAGGCAGTCTGCTATAAACTGTTAAAGCCTGTTTACAGTAATTTAAAGTTAATTAATTTTTTTTTTACATAAATAGAAAACTGAAAGTCTGGCAAGCCACTTGAACAGATTGATGTTAATATTTGCAATTATTTTTTTACAATAAAATAGGCCATAAGGCCAGTTTGTAGGAATTAAAGGCAAACACATTTAAATTAAATACTTACTAAAGGGGTGCTTATCTGCAAAACATGTGAGGCAAATGGGTTGCTACAAATGGCTCCTTGAACATCTAAAAAAAGCATGAGAGTATATAATAAATATTATTTAAACTAAATATGACAATAAAAATATGATTCACAGTCAAATATTAAACACAAAACTTCCTGAAGATTGTGGAAATGTAATTTCATAGTGCTGTTCTTTTTTCCCAGGCCAACAGCTGCTGAAGTATATGCCATGTGTCTGTTTTTAAAATTTGCATCTAGATATGATATGAACAAAAGATTTAGTATCAATAAGGACATCTAAAGCTAGAGAAAAGAAAGCCAGATATGCTAAGCCAGCAACACAGTACACAGTTTTCATCACTGAATTTGGTAACATGTGAAAGCAAATCCATAAAAAGATATGAAAAAGGTGATGGTTTAAAAAAGCAATGTACTTGCATGACATGTAAGTACCTACAACACTTTACTCACTCACAGGTACATACTTCATGTAAGTCTGCCCATAAAATTTCTAGCTTCCTATTACCAATTTTAATCCTCAAATAATTAGGCAAGGTAATTAAATTTCAAATATTCATACACATTATGTATGCATTAAATTACTTTTCACAATTATTTCATTTGCAGTCTGTTAACTCATATGTCTCTTTCATTGTTTCATTCATATTCATATGCACTTTTGTTATAGTTTTGCTTTTTACACTTTGCAAACTGCAGTGTTCTTGCTCCCAGTTCTGTTGCTGAATTTACTTTTACTTCTATTTCTTTGTCATTTCTCTGTTACTTATACAGCAATTTAGTTTCTGTAGTCTCGTTTTTCTCTTTTCGTATCTCCTTTCTCAACCCAAACACCTCATAGTAAAACACCTCTCTGGTGAAAAATGGAATTCTTCATTTCCATTTGCCTGGAAGCAATAACCACAAGTTATGATACAATGAAATTCTGTACCACTGTGATGGAGCAGCAATTCTAAGATACAGCTGCAGAAAATTTCTAAACAGTTGCAAAGATCTTTTATTTTGCTATTGCAGTTTATAGGAAACTGAAGCCTTTTTCCTCAAAGCCACACAATCCACCATTTGATGGAGAAATGTATGGATAGTGTGCAGAAGCTTAATAAGCCCTGGTTTAGTTTGATTCCAGTCAATAAGGGGGTAAACTTGGGTAACCTGACCATGAAATGGTGCAGGCCAGAAGGAAAAGTATTGCAATAGTAAAATAAAATCAATGAACTTCAAGAAAGCAGACTCTTATAAACTCAAATAATTGGCATGTAAAATTTCATATGAAAAAGTCCAATGAATACATAAAATTCAGGAGAGTTGGCAATTCCATAAACAGCAGAAATGGCAAGCAGAAGTTATTCCAGTCATATGAAAAGCCAAGAAGTCCAGTGAAGAGATCATGTAGACTAAGTCACAAGATCTCCACTGACTTCAATTACAGGATGGAGCACACAAAATACAGAAACTATGCAAAACCAATAAGAATTTTTACAAATTACCTGTATGATCACACAGGTCAAAGCAAATACTAACAATTGGATAACAACAGGAAGAGATCCAAGAAGTAAGTTTGTTCTACAAGTGTGTTAGTTATCATAGGATGACTAACAAAAGTGTTTGCAAACTGATCACTGGGGAAAAAATTATCAAGAACAAGTACAGACTTTTTCCCCACATTTCTCAGCAGAATCAAAGCTGTGATTGGAGAGTTCATATAAAAAGCACCAGTATAAGAAATCAGCTTGGCATAGAGAAAGAACATGTTAGAGAACACTTAGGTAAGTTTGACATTTTTAAAATGGTTACACAAGCAGTTTTCACTTAAACATTCAGACTTAGCTGAATTTAGCTGTCAGAACTCAATATTTGTGACCTTAAAGAATTTATAAAAAGAAACATTTTAAAATACTAGACAAAAGAAAATGAAAACCCATTCATTATGAACAGAAACATTTGCAAAAATATATGTCATATAATATAAAGGGTAATTATTTGCAAAAACAATTGCAAAATACGAGATCAATAAGCTTTGGAACAGATTCCTGAGTGAGGTTGATACATCTTTAAAGAACAATTTTCACAGACTCGTAGAATCTTAACGGGGTTAGAATAGATCTTAAAGATCATTAATGCCAACCCTCCCTGCTCTGGGCAGGGACACCTCCCACTGAACCAGGTTGCTCAAGGCTTTATCCAACCTGGCCTTGAACACTGCCAGAGCTGGGGCAAACATCTCATACAAACACCTGCAGATGGGCTGAGCCAGTTTCTGAAGGTGTCCTCCAGTCACATTATGAGTCATTTTGACCAAGACAATGTCACCATTATTTTAATTCAATTTCTTTGACTTTAAGAAGGGTTTTATGATTTTGATATACTGCTGGCTGCATAAAGTAAATATTATTGTTATTGTTATTATTATTGATAACAAGAACAATAATAATAATAGAAGATAAAGAATTAAATATTTCTATCACAGGATTCATATTTTTAATGTAAAGTTATTTAATCACTTATTGGAGCATCCTATTTATCATCCAACTTACTTAGTAGCCTTTGATTGAGATAATCAAGGGACTGGAAAATCTTCTCTTCTTCTACTGAAAGTGCACTCATGCCTGGACAGGGAGCCCTGTTAAGCAGTGAGGACTGGCTGGCTGCCTGCATGGTGTCCATAGCTGCCAGGATTTCATCCTCTGCAATGGATGTATTTGCTAGTTTTTCTGCCAGTAGAAACTGCATAGTACTTTCTGAAACTGAAGAGATTGCAGAGGTAGCCTCAAATGAGAAAAGCTGGTTACATTTAAATAAACTGATCATTTTTGTGACTGTAGGTCTGTGAAATACATAAAATCGACATTTAAGGATCAAAAAAGTGGCAAAATAAAGAAACATAACATGTTAGAAGATTAAATAATTAAGATCATTAATGCATCTTACAATTGGCACCAGAGCAAGTCCTAATAAGGTTGGAAATATGTAATGATAGCAAGTAATACTTGCCCATATCATAGTTATATATGACACATACAGGTACCATAGAGTTAAATACAAATAGGAATGGAATGCAAATTGAATATATGTTGTAATATATTTATAAAATCATTGATACCATGACATCTGATGCCATATCTTACATTTCCAGGAAAAAAAATTAGGTCTAGATAACTACCCTTTCTTACTTAGAATTACTGATGCCAAAAGACAAGTCACATTGGTATATCAGGTCATTCTACTTTATGCATAACAAAGAATTGAAGTGCATTGTGTTACTGTACCTTCCTCAGATTTACAGATGTTTTCCATCTTTTGTACTGGATCAAATGCAGATTGAACAGGACTCAGCTGGACTGTACATAATGAATTCTATCAAAAATGTTATAAGAATATTTTAAGTATAATTTAAGGTAAGTATACTACTTTCTGAACATGTTTCATTTATTATTTCATATTGCCAAATGATTTCACATGCAAAAATGTTAGTGTATGCTAATACAGTGATGTATTCTAGTTGGATTCTTTTCATTAACAGTAACAGCAGACTGGCTAAGCACGTTGATTCAAATCATGTGACAATGAATGAATCTTTGATACTGCTGAAACTTTTCCCATTTTGAAGATAAATAAGCTTTTCATTTTTAATAGTATTTTGTATTAACCTGTGCATGAGTAGGCTTCCATCTTTTAGAGTCTACACATCGTCTTCTGTGTTCTGAAAAAGCTTGGTGTCTATTTTCATAGCTGTCAAAAACTTCCTTTTGTCTTGTAACAGGAGCAAGACCTTAAATGACATGCAGACAAAAAAAACCCAAAAATGTGTAAAAACATGATAAAGATAGTAGTAGCAAAACTAATAATGGTGAGTAAATGTCTCTGTCCACATATAGATATTCACATCTGATCTTGTTAAATGTCTTTTCTAACAATGAAAAGAGAAAAGTGGGCACTTCTAACACATTTATTTTCATGCTAGCATAGGACTATGAGATACAGATGTGGATTGTATGTGGACATAAGCAGTTTAAGTGAAGCCCCACTTTGAATAACAAAGATGGTCAGTACAAAGATACAAGGTAGCCTTTCCAAGTAAGAAGGAGAAGGAGTAAGAAAGGTGAGCTATTTTATAACAAATATCAAATAATGCACCAAAAAGCAATGTTTTAGAAAATAAATTGCATTTAGAGAACAATCCTAAAGTGTAACTGTCCAACACAGTAAATGCCTGTTGACAAGTTACTGTATCTTATGTCTCAATGGATTTAACTTTTGTTAAGATTACACAGCAGTGTGCAGAAAGCATGTAGTAGTTCACACAGTTTATTTGATTTGCAGAATCACAGAATGGTAGAGGTGGGAAGGGACCATCTGAGGTCATCTGGTCCAGTGCCCCTGCTCAGACAGGCCCATCTAGAGCTGATTGCCCAGGATCATGTCCAGATGGCTTTTAAGTATCTCCAAGGTTGGAGACTCAATAAAGTTTCTGGGCAATTTGTGCCAGTCATCAGTCACTCTCACAGTTAAACAAAAAAGTTTTTTCCTGATGTTCAGAGGGAAACTCCTGTGTTTCAGTTTGTGCCCCATGCCTCTGGTATTTTCAGTGAGCCCCCCTGAAGAGACCCTGGCTCTATCTTCTTTGTATTTTCCTTCCAGGCATTTATAGATGTTGATAAGATTCCCCATGGCTTTCTCTTGTCCAGGCTGAACAGTCCCAGCTCTCTCAGACTTTGCTCCTGGAAGAGATAATCCAGTCCCTTTACCATCTCCATGGCCCTTGGCTAGACTCTCTCCACCATGTCTCTTTTACTGAGGAGCCCAGAACTGAACATAGTCCTCCAGGTGTGGCCTCACAGGTGTTGTGAGGTTTAAAAGTCATGCTTTAAAATCTTATTTCTATAGCTTGGGATTTTGTAGTTAATCTTACTAATTCAGGTATCTGTGTACTAATTTTAATGCCAGTACTGCTGTATAGCATTTTCCCTCAGTTAGAGAAATCTAACCTGGACACTGTGCCTCAAATTTATCTTAGCTTTGTCTGGTATAGCAATGCATTTTCAAAATTGAAGCATCAAGTTTCAAAAAAGATTATATTCTTAACTAAACTTTCACACATACAAACTGGAGATGCAAATTAGTATTTTCATGTGCAAGTCAGGAATCTACATACCCAAGAAGATATTATATTCCCATTTGTAAACACAGATTTGTAATGCAGTTACTTAATTTATACTTGGGAAGATAAATTACCTATTTATTTACATAATAAATATTTACATGTACAGTTCAGGATTTGACCATGAGATCTTTTACTGATTCTAACAGAATTTTATTTCTTTTGTGGTTATTACAGTGACATTTAACAAATCAGAATTCTTACCATTTGCAGAAAAAGGAAACACTTAATTGATCCTAGGAGCATTTTTGAAACTAGTCATCTGGCTGATGCCATCAATAGTAACATGGGACACATTAGTTTTAAAAGGTTGCATTTAGTTATATGCAAATTATTGTAAGGTGACACATGGTGCTGAATAGCACCTGAAAAGAAAAGGTGATGTGATTATATTATATTGAATATGGAGGGAAATTAAACAAACAATCCCCCAAACCCCCTTATAATATTTGTAATCACATAAAGTTTTTCTGAAAAAAATAAAATTCAGAATTGCTGTATTGGTATGTATTTAATTTAATTTAATTAGTATGCAAGACATGCTAAGTCTATGCCAAGGAAAATATTCCCTTGAGACATGTAAGACAAAATTGTAATAAGTGATATATATATATAGATAAATAGATAGATAGATAGATAGATAGATAGATAGATAGATAGATAGATAGATAGATAGATAGATAGGTATCTCATATATATATATATATAGATATAAGGGCATGAGATACTTGAGCAGTTTAACTATAAGCATGTTAATTAGCCCCATATTTGTCACAGGCTAAAGGTTAAACACATTTTTAAAGCCTTTTACTGACTGAACAAGAAAGGCCTTGAGATAATTCTAATACCCAGGTACAGTATAATGTGTGTCAGGCAGAAGATATATGACTTGAAGCTTGGAAGCCAAATTAAATTAAGATCCTCATGGACAATAATCTTCTTTACTCATCTTGTTCTCACACTTTCTGTACATTTGGCAAAGCATTGCAACACATCACATTGTGCCCTCAAAGTCCTCATGAACTCTGTGATATTGCCACAGCAGATATTTCACCCGGGAGCAATGCAGTATTCAGTCTCACAGCAAGCACTTCAGGACAAAGCCTATGGTGTCTATGCACATTTGCAGGCAATTGAACGAATAACAGCAAGTCACTAAGGGTTATCTAGAGAGGGCAACCCACCCAAATTTTAAAATGTGATTACTAAACTCTTCCTCTAATAGAGCAGGAGGTATGTGACCCTGGGGATGTGGCATTTAAAGTTGCAGCAAAGACAGCCTTAGTAGTGCACACAACTTTCACCCAGTACATTTCCTGATTCATTGATCTGATGTGCAGATAAGGACATCAAGAGGCAAGAATCTCTGCTGGAGGCAAGGCGTGGTAATGCAAGTCTTCCTTCATTTCAAATGTAAAATCAAATACGTTAACTTAAGTCACACAGATCTTAAACTCATCTGTTTGACTTTGAACTGGAATAGACAAGCAGATAACATTTTTCATTTCCCTCTCCTGCTTTAGGCCAAGAATATTCACCTGCCTGCCTCTGCTCTTACACAACAGATCTGTTCTGAATCCCTCCATAGTTAAAACTATGGATTACTGCAGATAAAACTAGAAACGTATTGGGGGGGGGGTGTTAAATCATGGGAATTAATCATTTTGCTAGAAAGTTTCTTTTTGTTGCACGGCCAGTTCTTGGGGTGATCCCAGTACATGCTGCAGTTTGAAGTGCTGCTTGTACCTGAAGTAGGGTTTACAGTTTCAGGAGCTCTGGTTCCAGCTGAAGCCCTTAATAGGAAGAAAACCAGCATACTAGATAGAGATAACAAGCACAAGGATGTCATCAGTGCCCAGGGCACAGAATATAGCTATGCCACACAGGAGAAAAAAAGGCAAAACAAAAAGCATGAAATGTATTTTGAAATGTAAAACCCAGGAGATTAAAGTTTTTTCTCTGAAAAAATCTTATGCATCTTTCCACTGTCTTACCAATCAATCTCTGCATCATATTGTTCCCAAGGGTTTTTTTTAATAAAATATAGGATTGTTCCTCAATTCTCTTAAAATTCTTTATAAATCAGACAAACTTCGCTGCAGAGCAAAGTTTGCCTGGCAGAAGCTCTTTATTTTGAACTTACCTTCAAATTTGTTTTTAGCTTTAATTGTATGGCTGGGACTAAATCTTCATAATAATATGATGCATTTACAGTGTCAGCATTTTAAAATCATGGTGGATCTGTATTTCATTCACTCTCATGTGGCCGTGACTGTTGGACAACAAACTATGACTCTCATTTACCTTGTAAAACTTGCATATATAAACATAGTCACTTCCTCCTATACCATTATTTAGATCACCTGTCATATCTGCTCATTAGTCATGAATATAATCTCAAGGAAAATATTTCCTTTTCATTTAATATTGTAGAGAGCTATTAAAAATGGGGATCAATGTTTGAGAAACCTCTGGGCACCACTAGAATAGAAATGACAATGACAAATGGTGAAGACTTGTTAAAACTGGTTGCATTGTGTGAATGGATGAAAGGCTGGATGCTTTAACTGAAAACAAATCTGTGATGCAATAGGAAAATACTTTTGTCTGAACATCCCCCAACCACAGACCCAGAAACAGGACTCTTACCAGTAGCAGAGTCTTTTGGAGGTCGGGCAGAATGTGCTTCATGCCAGGAGGTGCTTGTTTTTCCAGCTGCTGGGATATGCTGGAGATGTAATCCATTTTCAGTATTAACAGGTTTCCTCTCAGTGCAGGTTACTGAATGATCTTGACAGGCGCTTGCCTGAACGCTATTTACAGAACAAGTATTTTTTGCCCAAGGTTCGTATTTGGCTGTGCTGCAGTCAGGTGTAGATATCACAGTGGCCAAGCCAGAACAACAAGCATTACTCTCACTGTTTTCTGTACTGTTTCTATTTAAAACCTGATTTGCTAGCACAATATGCCTGTCATTTAAATCATACTGCTAGTAGGCTTGAAGGCTTGAAGGCAGCAGTGACTGACACCGAGGGCTGGCTGTGTTTTCAACACTTCTGTTTCCTGGCAGAGGTGTGGATGGTGGGTGAGGTGCAAGCATTTTCCCTGGAGCTTTGAAAGTTTTGTTGGCTTTAGGGGATGACTGCTGTTGGATTATATTGCCTCTTCTATTCTTGGGCATAAAACTTGACTGGGCTCTTACAGATGTGAAGGCAGCAGTGACTGACACCGAGGGCTGGCTGTGTTTTCAACACTTCTGTTTCCTGGCAGAGGTGTGGATGGTGGGTGAGGTGCAAGCATTTTCCCTGGAGCTTTGAAAGTTTTGTTGGCTTTAGGGGATGACTGCTGTTGGATTATATTGCCTCTTCTATTCTTGGGCATAAAACTTGACTGGGCTCTTACAGATGTTGTTATTCTAGTTGGTTTTGCCTTATTTTTAAGTTGATTACCTTCATTAATTTTATAATTATTATTACATACTGGGGGTTTACTAGCTTCATCTTTTGATAACATCCAAGCTTTGTGAGCAGAATAGGATCCAGTAGATGTAAATATATTCAGAGATCTGCATTCTTTATTTGATTCTTCATCACTAACATTTGGTTTTGATATATGAGAATTTTTCTGATGATTTTTTATGAACATGGGGTTTGAAAGTTGAGCAACAATATTTAAGTTAGTCTTAGGAGTATTATTTGCAGTTTGAACATATTGCAGCTGTGAAGAAGATATTTCACTGGTGCATTTTTCATGGCATTCTTCAGTATTTTCTACTATTATCTGGTTAATCTGATCACACCATCTTAGCTTCTTATCGTATTTGTAATTTTCTGCACTTTTCTTTTTTATTTTTGCCACTTCTAAACTGTCTCTGATACATGACATGGGGCGAAGTCCAGAACTGACACCATGGTTCCTAACCACAGCCTTGACATGACTGGGTTCATACTCAGAATCCTTCTTTAAGTTACTTCTGAATAACTTTATTCTTTTTCTTTCAAGAATATTGCTTTTCAGGGTTTTGTCCTGTGCAGGAGTGCCAGAATTGAACTCTGTGTTGTACACCAGTGACATAGTTTCAATTATATTTCCCTTTCCTTCCTCTTTGTTATTCTGTTGCTTAACTTCACACAGAACTGAGGCATTTGGTATGTCCTGAAATAAAGATGTTCCTGGAACAATGTCATTAATACATTCAATATTTTCTTCTTTTGTTTCAGTCATTTTTCCTGAGCTATTTTTAGAAAACTCTGTATTGATGCTTTTGTCCTTTGGTAATGTATCAGCTGTGCTGGGAATGCCAGTGGAACATCCCTGATTAGGAAATAAGATTATAGATGTTGCAATAGGTTGACTGGACGCTTGCAGAGATACAGTTCTTTTCTGTGGGATCATTTTAAAACTCTGATCTTGCATCAGATCCTGAACTCTTTCTCCCGGAACAGAATCAGGGCTGTCCCAAGCTTTGCCAGGATTGAGACCAGGATGACCAGAGCCTAATGTGCTAGCTGTTCCAGAAGATGGCTTGTTTCTGTCTTCTTTTATAGTTTGCAGACAACTAAATACATTACTTACAGAGCCTTCTTGGTTACCAAAGGTAGAGGACTCTGCAGGTTTCTTTCCAGATCTGTGAGAAGCAGATGATTCCTCTTCTGAAGTGTTTACATGTTCAGTAGGAGTTAGAACATTATGTTTAGCTAAAAGATCATGAATAGGTATGTTGTGGTAGTGTGGTGAATTTACATTTCTCAGACAATTATTTAGATGAATATTTTTAGAAGTACTTTGATCTGTATGAAGTAAACCATTATTCCTAGTCTGGCATTTTTCTGTATTGTATAGGGCACAGTCACACGGTGTAGTTAAAGGTGATTCACGAGATGTTGTGTAATTTCCATTTTGTTCTCCAGCCTCAAGACTGTCAAGGCTTGACAGGCTTTCTGAATCATCTGTTTCTTTGAATTCTTGATGAAAATTCTGAAATACAGGCATAAAACCAGACTGACAGATTTATCAGAAATGTGGTTTTGCTCCTACTAATTTTTCAATAATGAGAGCTTAGACTAAAATACAATCAATATTGAGCCTGGTGTTTTTATGACATGGGGTCATATCACCGTGTTTCCATCAATTAAAATTTTACCTGTGTTAAATTACATAAGAAAATTACGGAGTTTGGGAAGAAGTTCAGAGGAGAGAGATGCATAGTTCAACAAATTTAATCCTAAATTTTAAATAAATTCTGCAATATCAAAAAAGGAACTAGATTAATCTAAAGAACAGTACTGTTTCTGGGTAGCTCAATGACACAGGATGGTTTTTTCATACTCTGTAAGGGTATGTGAGTTTACAAGTTGAAAGAGAATCCATGAAAATGCAGATTTGATAGTGGATCTGCACCAAACCAGAACTTTTCTACAATACCAGACTGAATATATTTTTTTCATACAAAGAGCCACAAGTGATGTCACATCAAACACAGAAAAGTCTCTTGGCTATCATTACCGCAGTGATGAACAACTCTCTTCAGCAAATCCCCTCTTCACACCTTTCAGAAAGAAGAAAATATCACCTGATCTATGAGGACCATGTCTAAGGGTGTATAGGAGTCTGATCCACTCCCCCAGCCTCTTCATCAAACTTTAATGGAGTGATGAAAAAGAGCAACTTGCACAATCTGAAACACCAGTGGGACAAGTTTATGTATGAGCTATACGAGCATTTTCTCCACTATTACATCTCCATCCAAGCACTGAGAAATGGTGGACATGGTTAAAATTATATGCTTTATAAAGTACAAGACTTCAAAATACACATAAAGGAAAACAAGTGTGTGAACTGTTTCACAGTCTCATACACTCTCTCCTAGAAGTTCACTATCACACAACTCAGCAGCAAAGTGATTTTAAACCTTATGTTGGGAAAAATTGGTGTGAAAAACTGAGAAGCTGAATTAGATATGCAATCTTATGCAATGAATAATTTTTTTTTCATTAGTGACTTTAAATGGAAATATTTCAAGTAGCAAAATCTGTTAACCTAGGTAAGTGATTGTATATCCTCTGGCAATGATATAGAATTGACATTTTGAAAATTCATCAAAGAATGCATAAAATTCTTTAGTGAATAACAACATATTTCTGTAGTAAACTTTTTAATTCTAATAAAATGGCTATACCTTAATATTGCATACTTTATAGATATACATATACATTTAATTGCAGAGTAAAAAAGCTTAGGAATCTTGAAAGACTTTTTATGACTGAAATAAATCTTATCTTACACTAAATGTTCAGAGATTGGTGCAGTCTTCCATTATAGTTAGGATCTGAGATAAAGAAACTAAATTGAAGAATAAAGAACTCACTGTGGGGACAGATCCCTTTAGGGAACATTTTCAGACTAAAGCTATACAAACCAGTGTCTTTCTAATAGAAAAGAATAAATAACATTTTGTTAGTTATTTATTAACTTTTATGTTTGGCTAAATTATATTGTTAACCTCTGCTTGAACTTCACCAAACAAGGAAAAGGCATTTACTCAAGAGTTTTCTGTATCAGGCCAAATTCAAGAACTAACTTAGAAATTTTCAGATGGGAGAAAAATAGTAAAATGAAATTACAGGTGTCAGGCTTACCTGTCTAATTTGGAAACTGTACCTGTATAGCAAAGCATATGTTTCTAACATTGCAAAGTTAGACATAAAAAATTTTGTAAGGATTGATTTATTAAAAAACTTTTCTGATAGCAGGTTATCTTAAACTGATGAATCTGGAGGGTGTAAGAAAATTTGTTAATTTTAAAAATTAAGACAAAAAAATTCTACCCAGTTGTGATCCAGAGGTTGAAAATAGTCTTGATCCTGTTTTATATATATAATTTTCCTCTCCTTGTAAAACAAAACCTCAGTTGAGGTAACATTCAGAAGTGTTAGGAACTAAAGAATAAAGAAGGAGTCCTCATTTAAACACATACTCACTTTTTCTCAGTTCATGTAAATTTAGTTGATTTACATTTATGATGTTGCATCATACAATTCCATCCTTTCACACATTAAAGATGTTTATCATTCTCATTAAATATTTAATTATTTTACTTCCAATTTTAGTCTACCATGTAATGCAAACAAACATCACATTTTCTTGTAAAAATCACGTTTTCTTCTCTTTTCTTGTAAAAATGCATAACTAGAACTACTTCTGCAGACCTAAAAATGCATTCAACAATTATCCATTTTTAGTGATCAGTAAGTGCAAGGAAATAAACCTGGAAATCCCAATGATTTAATTTGATTTAATCTGTGAGTATATTATAGGATGATAAAGGAACAAAATGTTCACAGAGTGTACCATTTTGTTATTTTCTCGATTTGCATATTGTTACTGTTATATAAGTACAATTTATTGTATTGCCTGTGGCCTCCATTGTCTTATGCTCTAAGGCATGAAATCTAAACCCTCTGTGTCCACATATGTGGTATTCTAGGAAAGGGAACACTTCTGAGGAGTTAAAGAGGTCACTTGTATGTCTTAAGACAGAACAACTGTGTCAAGCAATTTCATCTTAGTAAAGCACTAAAACAAAGAGAAAACAGGAGTCTAAGAAATTTTTCATAAGGCCAGTGAAAGAACAATACTGCAACAAGTAAAATTTTCAGAGAACCTGACAAGTCACTTTTCTGCCAAATGGCTGTGACAGAACTCTATTAGACTAAAGAGCTCCTGTATGTGTATTTGACATTTCAAGAGGTGAATGGGAACACT